TTTAATTATATTCTGTGATTTTTTTTTGCATTTCTGCATGTCATCAGTTCACTGACACACTTTCATGCTGTAGTCGACTGTTTAATAATACTGTGCTGTGGTAACACCTTGAAATATCTCCATGGTTATGATGTGACGAGGACGCAGGGTGTTTGTGTTCGTGTGTGTGTGTGTGTCTACATGATGCAATAAAACACTTGGGAATGTCGAATCCAGCTGCTCTCCATTCTGACTCTCAGATATTCACTGGCACACGGTTCAAACCACATGCACATATGTTGAGTCTAAGTTGTGTGTGTGTGTGTGTGTTTTTATCTTGTCAGTATGGCTGTGCCCTCCCCCGGCATTAGTGTGTGTATTTGTGTGTGTGTGTGTATGAGACATCTGCAGGAAATAAAGGCCATTCTCTCTAAGCCGATGAAAACACAAACACTAACAGGCTTGATCCTCTGCAGCCAAAAATGCTGGACAACATCCAGCGTCAACGATTTAAGGACTTTTCCTTCTCAGTGGTGACAAAGACAAATGGCTCTGATCTGACACAGTGGCTTATTAGTGAGTTAGGGCTGAGGACAAACAGTCAAACAAGTCATTCTTCTAAAGCAAGAGAATACAATTTTTCTTTCAACATGTCTTTCCTAAAGTATTAAAAGTTATATAAGGCGCAAAGTATTGACGTAAACGTGGTCTTAACGTTAGTGTCGTATCATACAAATGTATATTTGTATATAAGGTTTTTCTTTCAAGTTGGTTAATTGAAATAAAAATACACATTTTCACCATTCAAACCTTATTCTAGAAAATATATTATATTTAGATGACGTATTAATATCAGTTCCTGCCTAAAAACAAAGCCCAGTGCCTTTAACTGCTGATTGGTTGTTGCACAACAGAATCTGAGAGTTACCTCTGCATCACTTCAATATTATTGCTGGCTTCAAGAGACCGCACACAGAGCAGGATCACAACTTTCACAATGTTCAATCACGTAAGCCAAAAACTACTGTGAAAAAAAAATGAACAAAATGTGTTAGGATTTCAGTCCAGCTGACAGAAAGACAAAGCCAGCAACACGCTGTTCAGTGGTGCAGAAGGAAAATGATTTCAAAACAATGTGCACAGAGCAAAAAAGAAAGCATATGAAATGAAAGAGAACGTTTGACATTAAGTGCTTGACCATTCAATAATAGGAGACCTGGGAATGAATACTCAACTCAGATCAGTCAGTTTTAGCAATGTTTCTGTGACTGATTTACAAAACGAGTCCAAAACAACTAAAATAAGCCTTTGTCTCCCCCTGGTGGCCGACGCCAGTTGCAGCCATTAACTATTCATCAAAATGCATACGTTCTCTACGAAGACAAAATTAACCGTTGGTAAAAGTTGGGCTAAAATATAAACTGTCCTGGTTCTAGCCCATGTTATTGGCCCGTGTCGACAGCAACTGCCTCCACGCCTTCATTTTTTTAATAAGTTGATTAAGGTATTAGTCCGAGTTCACAACAACACAGACATAAATTACTTTAAAACCACAAAGCAGCAGCGATGAAGGCAACATTATATTGAAACAATATTTTAATGTTCATGTTGTTTTGATGAGGACAGTCAGTAAGTGGGAAACATGTCATTGTCAGATCATCAATTGCATATCAGCACCCACTATTTGTACTAACATAGAATCAGAGAGAGCCCTTTATATAGTTGTCATGGCAACGGTGGCTTCTTTTTGCTTCAGCATTAAAATAGCACAAATTAAAGAAGTTTTACCTTTAATCTACAAAAAAAACAGACTGACATCTACAGAGTACACAAAGCTACTCTGTAAAGGTTCTGGACCTCTACCACTATACTAGTTTATATAGTAGCTCTGGGAACATATGGGATAATCAGCCGAGTTTCTCTAAGGCACAGAACTGCACCGGTTAGAGAGGATAATGTGTGTAAAGGTAATGGTTGAACGTCATCCCTATGTCAACGTAAGCATCAGACAGAAAAAGAAAAAAGAAAGTCATTTACAGAAGTGAGAGCTAATTATATAGTACGTTATCATACCCACCACTAGATGGAGTCATTCTTTCAAAGATCTCAAGGCATTGCTTCACTTTGATAATATCTTTTTTATGCATAGGTAATGAACGAATACAAGTACAAATCATTTGCTACAGTTTTTTATATTTTTATACCTTTTCCCAAACTATATCAATTAATTTTTTTTTTAAATTTGCATACGTGAAATCAGGTTATAATCGAAACAAAAAAAGCTGCCTGAAAATGCTGCTGCTTGGTCAGCACAAAAACAAAACAGAAAGGTGTGCATTATCATTAGTGG